CAGCTCAGTGTGCACCGCTGGACCTCAACCGGGGACCTGCCCAGCTCAGTGTGCACCGCTGGACCTCAACCTGGGACCTGCCCAGCTCAGTGTGCACCGCTGGACCTCAAAAGTGTGCACCGCTGGACCTCAACCTAGGACCTGCCCAGCTCAGTGTGCACCGCTGGACGTCAACGGCCAGATAGATAGAATGCCAGAAGAGATGCCAGATAGAATGTCAGATAGAATGCCAGAAGATATGCCAGATAAGATGCGATGAGATACGCCAGATAAAATGCCATAAGATATGCCAGATAGAATGCCAGAAGATATGCCAGAAGGTATGCCAAATAGAATGTCTGATAGACTGCCACAAGGTATGCCAGATAAAGTGCCAGAATGTTTGCCGGAACATATGCCAGAAGATTTGCCACATAGAATGCCAGATAGAATGTCAGATAGAATGAATGCCACAAGATATGCCAGATAGAATGCCAGAAGATTTGCCAAATAATATGCCAGAAGATATGCCAGATAGAATGCCAGAAGATATGCCAGAACATATGCCAGATAATGCCAGATAATGCCAGAAGATATGCCAGATAGAATGCCAGAAGATATGCCAGATAGAATGCCAGAAGGTTTGCCAGATAGAATGCCAGAAGATATGCCAGATAGAATGCCAGAAGGTATGTCAGATAGAATGACAGAAGATATGCCAGATAGAATGCCAGATAATGCCAGATAATGCCAGAAGATATGCCAGATAGAATGCCAGAAGATATGCCAGATAAAGTGCCAGAATGTTTGCCAGATAGAATGCCAGAAGATTTGCCAGATAGAATGCCAGAAGATATGCCAGAAGATATGCCAGATAGAATGCCAGAAGATATGCCAGAAGATATGCCAGAAGATATGCCAGATAGAATGCCAGAAGATATGTCAGAATATGTGCCAGAAGATTTGCCAGATAGAATGCCAGAAGATATGCCAGATAGAATGCCAGAAGATTTGCCAGATAGAATGCCAGAAGATATGCCAGATAGAATGCCAGAAGATATGTCAGATAGAATGCCAGAAGATTTGCGAGTAACAAAATGTATAAATGTCATGGTGGGGATCACACGAAGTAAAGTAATTAATTTATTATTATGGTCCGCTTCGAAATCCAATTTTTGGCAATATTTTTTCATTGCGTTATAAAAGGAAATAACTGATTTTGAACTCGGAAAAAATAGTTTCTATTACTAAGCTTTGAAATTCATTAATAGGGTCCGCTTCGAAATCCAATTTTTGGCAATATTTCAATCGCGTTATAAAAGGAAGTTAAATTGATTTTGAGATCGGAAAAACTAGTTATTATTATTAATGTTGTCTGACCAATAGTGATATCTTGTCAATAGTAGAAACATTTTTCCGCAACTCCAATTTTTCTCCAATACTAAAAGTCAATTAGCTCTATTTACTTTTAGTATTGCCAAAAGAGTCATGTTCAGACCTTGTCCAGAGGGCATGGCCAATAGTGGACCCAACATGGCAATAGTGGAAACTTTTTTCCCAACTCCAATTTTTTCTCCAATACTAAAAGTCAATTAGCTCCATTTACTTTTAGTATTGCCAAAAGAGTCAAGTAAAGCAAATCCTTTTCAAAGCAGCCTTCACTTTTGATTAGCAAAAGCTTAGATTCCAGAAATCTGATCCAATTACCAAACAGCTGATTTCCTTATAAAACCCTTATTAAAAAAAGCAAGAAAACAGGTCCACAAAGGGTACCCCCTTTGCAAGCCCCAGAATAGCAATAACAAACCTGCACCAGGCATGGCAATAGTGGAAACTTTTTTCCGCAACTCCAATTTTGTTGTCCTCCTTCTCCTTCTCCTTCTTCTCCTTCTTCTCCTCCTCCTCCTCGTCCTCCTCCTTCGCCTCCACCACCTCTGCCCCCACTTCCATGTCCACTTCCGCCTTGCCAACTCTTCGCCAATCTCTCAGAAACCCAACCAAATCCATTCAGAATCTATCAGAAACCCAACAAAACCATGGAGAATCTATCAGATACATATCATGATCCCAGCTATAGATTCCCAAAAATTATTATAGGAAGGTTGACCCCCCCCTTAAAAAAAAACAAATTAGGGGGGGGCAATTACTATTAGGCAGCCAACATTAAGCTTTGAAATTTATTGATAGGGTCCGCTTCGAAATCCAATTTTTGGCAATATTTTCATTGCGTTATAAAAGGAAATTTAACTGATTTTGAACTCGGAAAAAATAGTTTCTATTATTAAGCTTTGAAATTCATTAATAGGGCCCGCTTCGAAATCCAATTTTTGGCAATATTTCAATTGCATTATAAAAGGAAATTAAATTGATTTTGAAATCGGAAAAAATAGTTGTTATTATTCTATGAAATTTATTAATAGGGTCTGCTTCGAAATCCAATTTTTGGCAATATTTTCATTGCGTTATAAAAGGACATTTAATTGATTTTGAAATCGGAAAAAATATTATTAAGCTTTGAAATTTATTGATAGGGTCTGCTTCGAAATCCAATTTTTGGCAATATTTTAACTGCGATATAAAAGGCGATTTAACTGATTTTGAAATCGGCTTAAAATAGTTTATTAGTAAGGGTTTAGTATTATTAATAGGGTTCCCTAATAATAAATGCAACCCTAATAATAAAAACTACCTGAGGTGTTTATTATTTGGCGGGGGGGTTTAACATTAGGGGGAAGGGATTCTTCAACAGGGTGATGTTCCATAGTTTTTTGTATGTTTACCAGAGGGTATATCAAATCACCACCAGTGCTGTGATGTAAACTAGCTGAAAAAGTAATAGCTTTGAGACTCTAAGACCAAGAACTGACTTGGGTCAAAAGGCAAAACTTCATGTAGCTTTCATCTGGAGTTCACGGTCCGATGCACAATCGTACCAGGTCAAGTGACCAGTTCTAGGGCAGTATGGCCTTTCCGCACAACGGATCAAAATGATGCAGCCGTTATCACTCCGAAATTTTGTCTTGGAACGTGGAATTAAAATGATTGTGCATTGTAGTCATTCCTGGATGCTTTCCAAAGAATTCCAGACATCTACATCGACTCTTTGACACATAGATGATCATAGGTGTGCCACAGAAAACATGCAACATTTATCAAAATTTGTTTTTCACCACACAATATCCCACCCATCCATCCACCTCTGGCATTTTTAGACAATGCATCAGAAAATCTGCCTTGAGCTGGAGCTTCAATGCCACGAGCATTCCTTGACATAAAAAAAACGACGATGGCCGTCTTGCGCATCCAAGGCTCTTCCAGAGATCCATAAAGCTGGCAACCTTAGAATGCTGGTGATCATTGTTACAAGGTGGGAAGAATGTCCAACACCCATGGTATTCGCCGAAGCTACATGCATCTCCTCAGCTGCTTTCACATCCAAGCCGACTTCACGGCCGGAAGCATCGCTGGATCCTGGAGAAGTCTCTTCAAACATGGGCGGGTGGAAAGCACAGGAGAATGTTCAGCAATTTGGGGCACAAGACTCAAAATTACAACAATCAAATGCGCATGCTTATGTCACATTGTTTCTTTTCTTACTTGAATGTGCATCTAGGAATCCAGTAATCGTAAGTGACAACCATACTATAAGCCAGTTACGAACCCAGTTACAAAGATGAGATGTACCCAAATTGCATGTGGGTTATTACTCCACTAGATGGGTCCCGCACCCCCAAATAGTCAGACCCAAAGACCTTCAGAGCCAATATTTCTTCCAGAACTGGCGTAAGCTCTGTACAACTACAACCAGCTGGGTGGCAATGCAGTGTCCCTGTCATGTTAGCCCATGCCAAAAGGAGAAATCAAAACTAGGGAAGCGGAGAAAACAACAAAAACTTGATTCGTCTCCACCAGAGAGCCGCCTGCAGGTTCTGGTCGGTGGTTGAATCCCAAAACTATTGGCCAGTTCCGATCATCCCTTACATTGAGTGAACGTAAGCAATGCAGCCGTAGCCTGCATAACAAAGATGACATTGCAAGCTGGGTGAAACATGGAGTGCCCAAGAATACCTTCTACAAATGGGAGGATGCAGGGTATCCCAAGCCAAGCAAAATTTCAATGTAGTGTGTGATTATGTGAGCTATCTATATAACTCTCAATTTCCAATTTGCGGGTGCGCCAAATTGCAGGTGCAACTGCCATTGACACAGCTGGAGACCCCAGCATGGGGTAATGGAAACTCTTTGTTCCACGTGAGGCCGGCTTCACGCGCGGCACGAAACCGGCGCTCATGAATTTTCTGGGCACAAACACAATAAATTGAACAACAGCCCAGTGGTTTTCGATGGCTTTAAGTTTCTATGTCATGGGGATACGATCTTTGGCTCAGCTACTGAGCTCTGGCCCAAGGTGTTTGTTATCAATGATGGGTGCCAAAATAATCAATGTGCAGTATTCAAATACTGTATCCGCATGACGTGCATGCATTTATATGCATATTTCAAATACAATGCCCAAAGGGGCCCATACAATGCATGAATTGAATTATACAGTCTATACATACACATATTTCTACGTCTGCATACAGACACACAGAACACACCCATGATGTGTATATAATTCTATATATATATATATTACAATTAATGATGTATATGTATGTATATATATATACACGTATATATATATATGTCCCCGATACTAGAGGAAACTCGCCTATCAGACTCCAGCCCAGAAATGCCAGTCATAGGCCGGTGGTCTATCACTGACCTCCGGCGCCACAGCCTTCCCAAGACTGTGGCCGCCCATCACCAGTAGTGGCGAAAAAATTCGAACCGTGTCCAGCCCGGCAAGGGTGGATCAAGTTAACTAGGCAGATTCACCTTTTTGCCCATCAAGGGCCCATGGGGAAAACTCGGAAAACATGTCAAAACTGTCTAAAACATATATCGCACGTTGACCCTGCAGGGACCCTGCATAAATCAACATTAACATACCTATATTCACCGATCAAACATATCTTCAATTGTTCATCCCCCGTAAACATATAAAGATTGAGCAAATGCCAATGTCAACATCCATGAGACGTTCGACTCAGCTGTGCCCGTCTCAGGACGCCAAGGCTTCGTAGTACGGAAGGGCCTCCACGTCGCTATCCCGACGTTTGAAGATGCTGACACTCAAAACTGTCAGCGCCACAAAGGCTGTTGCAGTGATTGCCATTTGCCTTGGCTGGAATTCGTCACATGTTGTCATCACTGCCAATTCATCTGGACATTTCATTTACGGTTCAAAATCATGGGAACCATCTTGCTTGAAGAGCACATCTTGTATACGTCTATGCAATCTATTTTATTGGGTCATGTTTTCTGTCTTTGTTTAAGGGCGTGGTTAGGGGATGTTATTGGACCTCAAACATCTCCCCATTAGGCCCCACAGATCCCCACAGGGAATCCCTGGGCATTCCCAAGTCAACTTGGCGTACATTGACCATATGTGTGTATATATATATATATATTTATCTAATTTATATATATATATTTGTATTTATATATGCACACCAAATATGTATATATAAATATATGTATATGAATATCTGTAAGTATATATACACTAAATATATATATGTAAACATTCTCAAAAACGAATCCCATGATATTCAATGGATTGGTTTAAGGGACAACCCTAAACCCAATGATTTCATGGGAAAATCGCCAGGAGACGACGATCCAAAGTCGCCCTGACCGTTCAGGACTTGACCCACGGACAAGGCATGCGGCCATTCGGCTGGCATCCTTAGCAGAACCATCAAGGAATCACCGCTTCCGATTCACTCCACGATTCCTTAGATCAATCCCAATTATAACTTTGAACTTTGTACTACAAGTACCACTAAAAATGACAGAACAGTCGAAAATCACACACACACACAAGATATGTTCTTTCTTGAGGGAACACATTGACATTGATTTCATCTTCAATACATGTAATTACATGTATGCCGCATACCCTACCTTTCAAGCCGGGACGCTGATACCATGAGAAGTCGAAGGTGTCCGGATGACCGTTGTGGTCAGAAGCTTTGCCTTAGACTCGCAGTGCCCAGGTCTTGAGACATCAAACACTGCTAGGTCATGCTAGGTCCCATGGGTAAAATCAAAGGGGCCATAGTGAAATCCCAGTGTGGCAGACCTGTTCCATGCAACTGAGAATGGTTAATGATTGAACATGTTGATCAGGAGACGCAGCTTGCGATGACTGGGATGACCGAGAAGATTGAACTGCGAAAACAGCAGTTTCCAAACAATCCTAATGGAAACAAAAACTGACCTTGGATATCAACTCATGGTACCTGCCAAGCTGCAACCATCAACTTTTGAATTCACTTGGCTCCATGTGAATGGATGCTCATCATCACCCCAGGTAGGTGAAGATACCTCAGCGCACGCTTCCAACGAGAAGGCACATGATTCTGTGAAGGAGATGATGTTTGAAATTAAACCGGCAATCCAGCCTGAATAGGACACGGCATGCATTTACATACAAGAATGCCTTTGTACTATTGTCTGTGGATATGTGCATGTATACGTACATATCTATATAATATATAAATAAAACGATTTTAAACATGTCAAATCATTTCCACTATATCTAATCTACAACGATGTGTGGATTTATGCATAATTATTAATATGTGATTAACACATGGATCTAGGGGTCCGGGGGCCCCCATCCCTGCCATGCTACTAACGATAATCTAACACAGTTGGCTGAAAAATCCCTGAGCTAAGCAACGGTTTTAATGGCTTAAGGCTTAATGGGAACATCGTCTATATATAAATATAAACATGCAACAAATTCCATAGAAAACTGTTAGCCACGACAGGGAAGGCAAGCAGGCAACTACCTTGCATTGGCAAAACGTTTTTTTGGATGTTTGGTCTGTTCCCAGCAAACCGAGAAATCCGGGTTGAGGGTTTCAATTTGTCTAGGCGTTTTCGATCGGTTCCCTTCATCCACATCATCCCCAATTCTAGTTGGATCTCTGGTGCTCTATGTATACATACCATATACCCCTGCAGAAACAAAATCCTTTTGTCAATTCGTTTGCGTCACAGCTTGTTTCATATTTGTTTGCTTCTTCATGTTTCTATCTTCCATATGCTGGAAATAAATTGAAATAAGGCAAATGTCTCACTTGCGACTCGGAAAACCGCTCACTTGTGTCTCTGTCTCACTTGTGTCTCCTATGCCTCACTTGTGTCTCGGAAAACCGCTTGCGGGGTAGGGTGGGGTGGGGTGGGGTCTGATAACGTCCTTTGGCTCTAAGTCTAGGCACAGGGGCTATATCCCAACGCTATGAGATCTTCTCTTGTGCTTCCACACATATGCTACGCTATGAAATCTTCTCTTGTACTTGCACACCGGCATGATGCCACGCTATCAGATCTTCTTCTGGCTCTGGCCGGGGTTGGGTGGGGTGGAGTCTGATAACGTCCTTTGGCTCTAAGTCTAGGCACAGGGGCTATATCCCAACGCTATGAGATCTTCTCTTGCGCTTCCACACATATGCTACGCTATGAAATCTTCTCTTGTACTTGCACACCGGCATGATGCCACGCTATCAGATCTTCTTCTGGCTCTGGCCGGGGTTGGGTGGGGTGGAGTCTGATAACGTCCTTTGGCTCTAAGTCTAGGCACAGGGGCTATATCCCAACGCTATGAAATCTTCTCTTGCGCTTCCACACATATGATGATGATGATGATGATGATGGTGATGATGAAAATGGTGATGAAAGGGATGATGATGATGATGATGGTGATGATGACGATGGTGATGATGATGATGATGAGGATGATGATGGTGATGATGATGATGATGATGACGATGGTGATGATGATGGTGATGATGATGATGATGATAGTAACAGGATAGTGTTGGCAAAGATGGTCATGATCATTAAAGCAAAACCGGTGTTGATGATGAAATATGACAGCAGCAGCTGCTGATGATGATGATGATGGTGATGATGATGATGATGAGGATCGTGGAGTCACAAGCGAGAAGATTTTGGAGTCACAAGCAAGCAGAATTTGGAGCCACAAGCGAGACATTGCCCCGTGACATATTGCTTTCCCAGATCCGTTTTCCCACGTTGTCCCTCCAAGGCACAGCCAGGAAAGAGAGGTCCTGTGCCTCCGGGCGCCAGCGCGCGATCTTCGCATCGATGGCACCGAAGCAGTCATAGCTCACCTGGGGCCAATGGCGGACGTGCTTTCCATGTCATTGACATACATAATATATATGTAGGCATGGATGGATGGGATTGCATGGATGGATGATGGATGGGTATTGTTTGATAAAAGTTGCATGATTTAGGTTCTTGTTCTGAGTGGGTCTCGGCTTTTGTTCGGCTGGTCGAGCCACTTTCGGAAAAAATTCGATAGAAGAGACTAAGCCTGGAAACAACATGAAGCAACCAGGTGGGACACGCATGGTCAAAGATGAGGTCAGGCGTGCATAGTCAAATGATGCCCAATGTCACAGCATGATGTGTAGAAGAGCGTGGGAAAAGTGGATTTTGAATAATGTTTGTGTAGTTTGTTTGGGCGAATTTAATCTTGATTCTTGGTGCAAGTAAAGGCTGTTTGTAGTGGATTTTACCTTGATGCGGTGGCAAACGGTAATGTTTGACAAAAATGGGAGAACACTAACCTAACAAAGCCCAAACGCACTGATGCGCATCAATAGACAGAAACGAGGATCTACCACAAAGCAAGTACCAGGGCCGTGGGAACACAGCCGACAAACAGGTCATGCGTCCATTGATGATTGTACGTTCATTCCTACATAGCGACGTCGTTTGTCTGCAGCACAAATCGTATTTGAAGTCAATGAAATTATATCTATACAGTTTACTCGAAAAAAACGCTTTGCAGTTGGTTCGAATTGACCGAATCCGTGCCCAGCAACGAGGGGCTACCTGCTGAGCACATTTTATATGTGTATGTATGTGTATAACATCATATCTCTCTCTCTCTCTCCATATCTCTCTCTCTCTCTCTCTCCCTCTCTCTCTCTCTCCATGTCGTGAGTTCGGAGGCAAGTGACGTGCTTGTGAGGATTGAGGTCACATCTTGCACTGATGGCATTGCAAGCGTCACCCCTCGCCAATGGATCACCAAGACCTCTGGTAGGGCCCAAGGCCACCACATCCAAAGATCCCAAGGTTGCGGGAATGGGGGGGTAGGTAGGGCACTTGAACGCAGGTACCGAACCCTTTTTCCTTTTCCAATTTCATATGTATGTAATATATATGTATATAATATATATATATATAAATATATAAATCAATAAATAAATAAATAAATATATATATATATATATTCAAATTCTAAATTTACATCTATATGATGGTTGCTCAAAATTGCTTTATCCGGGAACGGCCATTCTTCGCGAATAAAAATGTTCTTTCGCGAATCTTTCGCGAACTCCATATTTATCTTTCCCGGAACTCATGTTGAGCAACAAATCCTCTTAGCCAAATCACACCAAATTATCACGGATAACTTCTGCAAAGCCTCGTAAACATGCAGCTAGCATCACGGGATCCTCTTCTCAGGACAGGTTGTTGCTGATTAGGCAATTTTTTGGCAAGGCTTGCTGGGCCACTCCCTTCAAAATGTTCTTTGGCTTTCGGCCACTCCTTCGCAGAACTTTTGCGAAAACATCCCTATCCGCAGACCCCAGCCAGCAGGGAGGCGCATCAAAGGAAAAGCAAAACCAGGGGTCTTGGTGCTTGGCTCTTGCAAAGCCTCACTTTTGGAAGCTTGGCTGCTGCATGTGGAGCTTGTTTCTTCAGACTTCAGAAAGCAACTTTAGGCAGTACCAGGCGCAGGTGCAAGGATGCGCTTCAAGACCACGGTATTTGGCTGTGGCGAAGCCTCACCTTCGGAAGCTTGGCTGCTACATATGAAGGGAAAAGGAAAATGTGCGGTACCATTCTGCTGCCGGACCCCCGGGCGGCAGGAGGGGGTAGCCCTTAACAAGCTGTAATGTACACAATGATAATGATTCATAAATATTCATAATAGCCATTTTCGTGAAACTTTCGCGAAAAAATCTTTCGCGAACTCGAAAAAACGGTCGCGAGGGTTTCCAACATAGCATGCACGGCTTTCGCAATTCAAACTCCTTACAAGGACCTTTAGATCGATTACCATATATTGATACATATACGACAGCTGATGTATCATGATTTCCCGTAAAATCTCGGCCCTCTAGTTTTCAACACCCCCTAGAGGCCATGGTTGAAAAGGGAAAGAACTCACACATTTGGGAACATAGAAAGGGGAATGTTGACTCTTGGGAGGATAGGATTAATTGCTGTAGCCGCCAGCCCCAACCATGGCCCCATGGCCCAGGTCCAGCAACGGTTGTATCTGATGAGAGCCATTAAGGAAGATAGCGAGGAGCCAGCACCTTCCTGCCCTCGGTTGACAGAGAAGGACAAGTTGTTTCCCTCAGTAAACAAAAACAAAACGCTATGGAAATCCATGTGTGTTTCCCCTTCGGAAAGGATCTACAAATTGTGGATTTTCCATGATTTTCCCCATATCTATATGTTCATTTATTGGACGGTATGGTTGAAGTTTGACTGCACAAGTGCCAAGTGCCACGCAAACCCATTCACTTGTTGTATGTCTTGGGGGAAAGGGCTGAAAACTGCAACCTTCACAGTGGGACGCCGCATCTTCCCCCCAGCTCAAGTATGATGTGCTCACAATATTGCCAAACAACAGGTGTCTCAAACACTCTGGAAAATCATATGTAATGACAATATGACAATGATGTAATGTAGTGTAGTGTGTGTGGCTGATGGTTTGTTTTAAGTGAATATAAATCCACGTTGCTATAGTATATACATCGTCTTCCCGGTGCTAATCATCATGTGCAGTGAGGTCGCAGCCAAGGAACTTGCGCGCTCGAACATGAGAGCCCTAGGGCACTTGTCGAAACTGAAGTCGTCGGGCGTGTGGGTCTTCTTTTGCATCTCTTCATAGCCAGCAACTTTCCAAATGTCAGCCTGCACGCGGCATGGTGAAGCTCAGTACTGAAAGATCGCTGATGTCGATCTTGGAAGGGATGGAGAGAACAAGAGAAAGACATAAGGAAGAGGTAGCTCCAGACTGAACGGTGCCATTCACTTGTACTCGTCTGTAAAGCTTGGCATTCTGGCATAGTTAAAGGATGATCAAACCCTTGTCCCTTTGGCCCTTTGGCCAAGGGGATTGACAAGACAAAAGGCCCTGTTTTGGGTGATATGGGTGTGTTAGACCCCTTAAATCCTGGGATTCCCCCAAGGATCCATTAAAAGATGCCACCAAGGGGCAAAGTACGGAACGTTGTAGCTGGGCCACGACATCTGCTTGCGCAGCACGTCGGTCACCTGACAATGAAACTACATTAAACTCATGATGCTCAACGTCAACCCTGGATGCAACCCTGGTTTCAGCTACCGGTGCTGTTAACGCACCCGCAGTCTTTGCTGTTTTTTACTGATTCATGGCACGTCATTTAGAAGTTGTGCACGTCAGTTAGAAGTTGTGCAGGTCAGATAGAAGTTGTGCACGTGAGTCAGAAGTTGTGTCAGGTAGAAGTTGTGCAGGTCAGTCAGAAGTTGGGCAGGTCACTCAGAAGTTGTGCACCTCAGCCAGAAGTTGTGCACGAAGGATGGTCTGATTTTCTTGGGGAACCGGGTGGGGTGGGGGGGTGGGGAGGAAGGACGCAATAAGCCCGTAACTTCCGACACGCTCTTGTTACTTGCCACACGCTCTTGATGCTACGCTGTGACCTTTCCAAGCGAATCCAAAAATATGTGTGTTCCTTTGCCTACCGTTGGAACCACAAGCGAGACTTGAAAGCAAGTCTACCCAAATTGGCAGCCAGAGTTAACAAACGCAACCGCTGAGACCAATGAGGAAAGAAAAAAGAGAGCACGAAACACAGTTTTGCAAACCCCGTTTTCGAAATCGACGTTTGCAGAGTATTTGATCCCATGTAATTCAATGATCAATGAATAAATTCTTAGCGTAACGTGGTTTTTGTCAACACTATTTCCATTTTAAGGCAAAACGTAACGAGAATCGTCACGCCGCCACAGTTTGAAGCACATCGATGAACCACTTGGTCCTTAAGGGTGAGTCATTGGTTGAATCCACGGGTCTTCGTTAACAGGAAGTTCAAAACAGTGTGTTCCTACGCGTGCCGCTTGCATAATGTATATAGTATACAGTATGTATATCATAGGGTAAAAAATAGATTCAACATATTATGGATATATATATATATATATTGCAGATTTATGTCACTGAAACAAATAACACACACATGTAAATATATATATGTAAGTGTCGGACAGTATATAGAATACACACATATATATATGTGTGTGTGAGTTTCAATGTCCAATGTAAAAAATAAATATGCGCATATATATATATATACACATTGAAACTTATATCTATTTCAAGCCATTCCTACGGGATTTCATATGTGGTTTCATGTCAAATTTCAGGGAACAAACTACTTGTTTCCTTTGGTCATAGCTATGAAACATGGCCCTTTTACTTCCATGATCCACCCATTAAAAATAGGGGTTTTCCATACCTATCTTGAACTACCAGAGGGGGTTCGGGATATTGATCAACATTTTTTATGCTGATGTTCTCCATATTTACCTTTCTTTATTTACGTATTAAACATGTCTATACCCTCTGGTAATTAAACATAGCTATGGAAAATGGCCCAGTTATAGTTGTTTTACCTATTAAAAAGTGGTGATATGTGGTGATTTTCAATAGTTATGTATAGTCATGTTAGTTTACCTTACCGGGTAAGCATGGTGATATTCCATAGCTCGCTGGAAATCCATGCCCGGAGCACATCGCCCCGCTGCGCATGGCCCGGCATGGTCTCTGAGATCCACAACAAGCCATCCTTCAAGGGCTTTCCTGGCGCGATGGAGAGGCTGATAGCAACCAGCGTGTCCGTTCAGTCGCCATTAAAATCGCCATGAGAAAAATCCGTTAAAATCACGATGAAACCATGACGAAATCCAAAACAAGATGGAGAAAAGTGGGAAAACTGATGAACACCCATGAAATGATGGAGAGCATGTCATCTACAAATCGTCCGTAAAGTACTTGTCTATAGTATTTTTTGCGGGTTGCTGTGAGGCAAAGTTTGCAGAAAACAAACATCTAAAGGTCTCTTGCCAAGTTTTAAACTAAAGATTAAAGGTCTTTTTTGCCAATGTTCCCTTCAAACAATTCGACATAATGATCTGGATATCAAACCTGGCTTGGTTTCAGAGGAAAATGGAAACATGGAGAAATCAGATCACAAAATATTGCCATGCTGGGAGAGCATCTTCACAGCTTTGTTCTCAAAATCAGGTTTTTTGGTATTTTTTCGTCATTCTCTCCGGGCACTTTCCAAGATTTTTTCAGCTTTGGACTCCAGAAATCAGAATCGACAATGAATGCATCGATACCTCTCGTGCATGTAGCTTAAAGTGGAAATATGGCTAACGGTGCTGGGCCTGTCATGGTGCTTCAACAGCTTGATCTGGTTGGTGGAGCCCATGAAAATTGCAAGTATCATGGGGATACATTGAGGGAGAGTTGCATCATCAAAAACACACAGATACAAGCAAGAGAACGATGAAAATTAATGACAACCATCTGTCTTTGGGCATCAGGGAACATTCAAACAATTGAGCCATGCAGAATGTCAAAATCTAAACAAGCCTCTCAGTCTCAGTCTTTTACTCAGCAGATCCCTTAGCTTTCTTAGGGGTCCGTTAAACGTGACATCTGTTCTTTGAAGGCAGCAGAAGGGCTGAAACATGGGACCCTCCATTCAGATTGCATGGGACCTATAGCCAGCAACATGCGCTCCGTATGAGAACCTGCTTGGGCAACCCTCCAGAATTGGGATGCGTTTGGTTTTCCACTGTCGACTGTCAATATAATATATATATATACATATACAAGAGTTATTCTCAGCCCAGCGCCAGGTCCTGGTTCGAACTGCTTGTAGTCAACAACCATCCACTGATTGTTGCCTGAGGCAGATCTACATTTCACATGGTGCGCGTTTTAAAGGATAATCTGGCGTCTGACACTTGAGGAATGATCCAAAGAACCCTGGGTCAACACCTCAATGATGGGTAACTGCTGGAATATGTTGAAAGGTATGACCCGGTATGACCTCCTATGAAGCAAGGATGCTGTGCAACACCAGCGACTTCCCTACGACTTCTACCCGAAACCTTCCCGAATCCGTGGTTTGTGAACTTGGTCACACCCCAAGAAGGGACAATATGATAATCGCCCCCTCAGCTAGAATTATGTTCTAGTGGTTTAGCACCAACACCTATAAGTGCCTATAAGCCTATAATCTATAGTTTATACGATCAAAGATAATCGTCCCCTTATTTTCTAGTTCGGGGGATGGTGACCCTCAATCGAAATATCACCGTTTTCAATAATTTTCATCCCAATAATCACCCCTTGCCCAACAGTAACAATATCTAAAGTAGTTGGGATTTATGGGGTATCCCCAAAAATTCACCCATGATTCACTATAGATGATTTCCCCGATGGGTTTTATAAATTAAGACTCTTCATCAGTTCAAAACTAATGTCCATTATTCTAGACAGCATATATCCATCCAGTTTACCACTGTTATTCACCAACTCTACTACAACATCTACAACCGAGTATGTATATAAATATATATATACTATATTATTAACAAAACCATTGTCCATACACTTAACCAACTCCTAGTTAGCTACCCTTTTTGACATATTGCAACCACACTTTTTTTGACATATTGCAACCACACTTTTAGCAAGGGTTATAACTACTGTAACCCATTCCCCTTTTAAATTATATATCCATATTTATCCAATTCTACTCATTAAATTGGAATATTCATGGAAGATATATACCCTCCAGTAATCAAACGTGGCTAGCTGGGAAATCCAGAAACTAAATTATAGGTTTTCAGCTGGGAAAATCCTCAAACCAAAAAGGTGGATTGTCCAAAACACCACGCTTGAAAGGAACATACATACTACCAAATCTCCTCCATTTTTTCCATGTTAGAACTAACCCATCTTCCATCAATCAATCTTCGTGATTTTCTACGGCTCATGGTTTTTTTTCACCCTGCCCAGCGGCAGGTGCCGCTGTTGTGACGCACTTGGTGCTCCGTCCACTGATTCCCATCCGTGGCCAAGCGGTTGGCCACCATGGCCCTGGCCCAGGTCATGACGGACTGGGGCTTGATCTTGGACCACCTGGCGCACCGGAAATGGAGACCTATGGGCCATGGGATTTACCATGGGGAGATCAACAGAGGGAATGGATGTTGTAACATCTTTTCACCGGAAACCATATGGTTTTTATTCTTCCAAAAGTGAAAAACTTTTCCCCTGGATTTTCCCTGAAACCAAGTCTGGGAGTGGGGCAATGGCCATTAATCCTCGGCGTAATATGCTGGGGCAATATTGGGAAATATATGGAACAGCATGGCCCATGGCTGCATCTTACAAACCATGAATAACCAATGCAACAATCCGTAGCTTCAGCAACTTCAAGGCTGTCAATGTTTGAAATTGCACGCCATGTGCACCACCAACTTTTGTTCAACCAGTTGATTAGTAGCACATACCCTCCCACGAATACACGCGCACACGCACACATATACATATACATATGCATATACATATGTATATATATATATATACATATACATATATATATATATATTCAAATATGTACATACATATGCATATGCATATATGTATACAAGATGTACAAATGATAAATCTCCATTGGCATGTTGAAACTAGGTGTTTTAGTGTGGTTGCTGGTAGTCAACATATACTATTGTAGGCCTCATATCCCCTAGAATCCCATAACATATTCCACAACATATTCCACAACATATCCCATCACATATTCCACCAATTAACATTTCATGACACATCCCACAACATCGTCCCATTTACTCTACTCTTCCATCACCATATCAGGGCATATCAGGGCATATCAGGGCATATCAGGGCACAGGGATCTGTTGTAGTTGTCGATGGTGGTCTCCATGACCACCAACTTGGAGTCCAAGACATAGAAGTCATCCGCGCTGTAAAGGCCTCCTGGGAAGAAACACACCCCAGGTGTGGGGTTACCAGATCAAAACCCATCAATGATGAAGATCTGTCATGATCTGTCCCAACAATGGTGGTGGTGGTTGGTGATACACGAAATTCTTAATAAACCGTTATTCTTGGTTGAATTTCCAGTTATAGGTTGTGTTCTTACTCAAATACCCAATTCGTTCGCGGATTTCGCAACCAGCCATGTCTGGTTGCTGGAGAGTTGGTTGGAAATAAGATCACCCTTAAGAAATCCAATCATTGGATCACGTGACTGGGGAAATATGGCATAGTTCAAGGCATAGTATTGCAACTGCCAAGCTTAGCATCTACCCAGCAATGGACAAGCACCGTTGGATTGCCATCAACACGTGCTAGTTACTACAAAACCTGGCCCAAACACAGGCATCTCGAACAACACATGTCAGCAGGCCACTGACGTTGCATGTGGCGCTAACCTAACCCCAAAGCTGCCGGCAAGTGCGATGGAACCCCAAGTCTATGAACAAAAGGAAAATTGGAAAGCAAAATGGCTGAAACCAGCAGACATTCTGACTTTCCAGGGTTCTCAACTCTATCCACTGTTCAGGCTTGGAATAGGCTCCTGGGTCAGCAGTGAAAGCCAAACGTTGGACAGCCACACCAGGGAGCGGCATGTCAAAGTACTTGATAATGCGAAGCATTCCTGGCACGCTTTGTAGGTCTCTGAGACCTGATATGTGGAAAATCAATGAAAATCACACGTCTCGGTAAACCATACAAGTACATTACTACCCCAATGGGTCATGGAGGCAGGATATGGGTTCCAATTGGGTCAAAATCTTCACGCTTGATTTGCTGGGCCGTGTGGAGTGCATAACATAGAGCTACAAGTCTTCCATCATTGGTGCACAACATATATTAAGCCCCCCCAAAAAGAAGCATATCCCACCAAAGTTTTCGCATAAGTTTATCGTTTCTATTTTTTTCTGGGGGGTGCTATATCTATCTATCTATCTATCGTTTTTTCTTTCTTTCTTTCTTTCTTTCGTTCGTTTTTTCGTTTTTTCTTTCTTTCTTTTTTTTCTTTCTTTCTTTCTTTCGTTGTTGTTTTTTCTTTCTCTTTTTTTTTTCTTTTCTATCTATCTATCTATCCATCTATCTATCCATCTATCTATCTATCTATCTATCTATATGTCTATATACCCTATTCTTTTGCGCATCTGTGTCCCATGGCCCAGCACGTCCCGCCTCGGTACTCGTCCCAGGTGGCATGGGCCACCCAGAGGTCCTCGGTCTCAGGGGCCACTTGCACCACAGCACTGCAGTGCCCATGGTGTCGGCGATCGCTGACCTCGCCCCAAGACTGTTGGGGTTGTAGCAAATAAAAAATTGTGTATATATATATATGTATAAATATATATATATATATGTAAATATGTATATATGTATATATGTAAAAATATATGTGTGTATATATGTATATATGTATATATGTAAAAATATATGTGTATATGTATATATGTATATATGTATATATGTGTATATGTATATATGTGTATATGTATATATGTATATATGTATATTTGTATATATGTATATATGTATATATGTATATATGTATATATGTATATATGTATATATGTATATATGTATATATATATGTATATATGTAAAATATATATGTGTATATGTGTATATATGTATATATGTATATATGTATATATGTATATATGTATATATGTGTATATGTATACATGTATATATGTATGTATGTATATATATGTATATATATGTAAATATGTATATATGTATATATGTATGTATGTATATATATGTATATATATGTAAATATGTATATATGTATATATGTATATATGTGTATTTAAATATATATGTATAAGTATATATATATATATCATAAATTGAGATAGAATGACATATGACATAGAAAGAACTACTTCATGGAGGTTATAAAGCAACAAACATGACTGCGGCGGCACCAACAAACATAGAAATACAAAATAAGATGAAATAAGGCGACAACGTTTGGGATAAAAGGATTAGTTGAAGAAGCTAGTATAGAAATAAGGGTAGCCAATTATGGATGAATGATCACAGTTCATCAACCTCAAACTTAAAGCAATTTGGGGAAGTTACCCAAATCCGGAGCATAATTGAAACATGTCCTATTTTGACACTTCAATGTGGTTTATGATTTAATTTTCAGGGTAATGTCAACCCTGGGTTAATAAACCCCTAGTTACTAATTTACAAATTCGGGGGCTACCATTTATAAAGGGAAATATTATGAAATATTGCTATTTTCGGAACGCCACATATTAATACAGTGGTGGTTTTATGAAATATTTCTCAATAATTTTGAGCCGCTTTTAGTAGTTCATCATCCAAGTTTGGGGGGCAGGTGAACCATTAACCATGTCCAGTTCACTGAATCAGTGATTGAACCTGGGGCAGCTGCAGCGACGTACCGTAAAGTATCATGACACAAAATTACATACCCACTTAATACCCACTAAACAAACATGTTGTGACATGCATCTTAATTTCAATTATTTGGTTGTTCTTTAGCGCTAGAATCGGCCAAAATGAATCGGCAGTAGCCCAAATTAATCCGCCCAACCCTGCACCCATCCATGTCATTTGCTTGGTTGTGAAGGGAGGTTGAGCCGGATACTCCTGCAGCAGTAAGAACAGGACTACGGTGACTACTTGATGGCTTTGCACCCCATATCAACCCACATTCAACCACATCAACCCAGATCACTGATTGTTTAATGATTATTGACCAATATAAGTAAATAGTAGTAGATAAATAAACACAAACACACTCACACACATATTATAGATATATATATATACATAGATATGTATGTATATATATATATATTTATATTTATAGACCCCGGTATATCAACCAACCCACCCAAGGGCTACATACCCAAATCACCAACCCTTCCACCTCGAAGTATTCCGGGAAGGGGTCAAAGAGGCGATGACGTCTCTGGTGCCTGCGATGCAAGAAATGCCTGGGCCACTTCGGCGCGGGGATGGGGCCAGGCCGCCAGGCCAGGAAGCGACCAGGGACCAGAGAAAATCTATGTTACTTCATCAATAATAGGGATATAGTGGGGCCTTAGTGGGGGTATATCAAAGGAATATGATAACACATTTGATAACACATGATTTACTGGGGATATACTCTGAGATATTTGATATATATACTTGATCTTTGAATTGTGCTTTTCTTTTGGGACGGAATCGTGGGAAATTACGGGCGAACAATGACGCTCATGCTGATGACTGAAGTCATTTCAGGTCTAATTCACTGAATGAAAGGAAGCTCCAATAAGGAATTCATGGTTTTTATCAATCTTTTTAATGGTTTCCATTGGGCTTTTCATGGGGCTTCCTGTAAATCTTCCCCTCCGATTTTGGGGGTCACCTCTGGATCCTTTGGGAAGCTGAGCTGCTGATTGATAAAATGCCCTTCGGCCACCACCGCTGTGACCACATCATCCATGTCAGTGTCAACCATCACGAGCATCAACATGTCCTGCTGGTGCAGTTGGGGTATAAAAAAAACATGGGAAAACCATGCTCAAAAGCCCACAACTTGGGATATACTAAGTTGGGGTAAAATAGGTCGGGATTTGGATATAACCCCACAATCATAGATGCTACTACAGCTATATATATATATGTTATATTATATTATATATAGCCGCTTATTAGTTAAATGCTCCACTGCAACCACAAGTGGGGAAGTAGTCAACCGGGACCCATGGTCGCCCATCTTCAGCCCATCACATTCCAGGACCACTGAAATTAAGTGTCTCAATCTCAACCAATGGGGTTAAATGGTTACCTTCCCCTCTGGCAATTTAACATAGCTATGTAAAATGGCCCATTTCTAGATGATTCATCTAGTAAAAAAAAGGTTTCACATGGCTATCTCCAATTCCCAGTAAGGTGGCTGGTGAAACATGCCTTCGTCCGAAGATAAGCTACCTAAAAAGGTCTTGGGTCGCTTTATCATCCAACCTTTATATAAACCACATATAGCCTCTGGTAAGCTAACATAACCAGGGAAAATCACGCATCAAAGGCTATTTTCCATAGTTTTTTTGTATGTTTACCAGAGGTTATAGCCATAAATTTGTCCCTGGCCATCGCATGGCGCCTCTACAGTGAGCTGCTGGCCATTGTCCGCCCTCTGTGCTTCATATCCATCTGCCAGGCCGTGAAGTTGCGCCAGGAGATAGCCAATGGTTTGCCAGTAACCTTGGAGGATCATGACCCTCCAATCAATCTGTATACATCATGATATATATATATATATATATGATTATGTATGTATGTATGAATGTATGTATGTACGTACGTATGTATGTATGTATGCATGTATGTATGTATGTATGTATGGATTTTGTGTGTAAACGATTAAGTTATGGTGAATCTATGGATATTATTAACATTTCGTTTCTATTCTATGAATGGTTAACCTATGTTAATTCAACACATATTATCACTTATATTGGCAATTATTTGCTAGAGCTGCTAAAGACCATTAGATTGTTGATATAGTTGATATTTGAATTCACCAAGCCGAAATGAAACCCCTTGGGGGTAGTCATGCTCACTATATAATCAGCATTTGCACATATCTACAGTGACAAGTCGATGTAATTCATCTAGATCAATGGTTTGGAGGGGCAATTTTACAGAAACCATATTTTCTTTGGGGGGAGGGGAAGCGGTAACGGAGGGGAGGCGGTAACCCGCATTTTCTTAATATGCCCAGTAGGTTTTTACTTTGCTTGAACCAATTCTGGGATATTGGACTTGATGAACATAGAGTCAGGTGTGATATGTAAGATGCAAACTTGTTTTTTTAATCTTTTTTGATGTTGGAGATTGATCTCAAGAATTCACATCTTCTTGGGGGGTTGCGCCATATTTCGTCATGAGTCAATGTGGACAATATTCAAACCACCAGCCAGTTTGGCACTGGGTCAAACCACTGGCTGCTCCAATTGCTGTTTTGAAACGGAAAAGTCGACTTTGGCGGGTGATTGGTTCGCTCACATTCTCAATGTCCTCTTGCTTGCGAAGAAAGGCATACCCCCCTCTATTTCCACCCGCCAACCACTACGAAGAGGAATATCTATGTACATTTATGGTTTCAACTTCAACCCACATGCATGCAAAATCAAAAAAGTGAGCAGTAGAAGAAAAAATCATCAGAGGAAAAACAAAACACATTGCAAGCCTTGGAAACTCCGCACCACACATATCCGCGGAATATCCACCCTTTACTTGATCCCGGAATAACCAAGGTTTCTGAAAGCGAGTCACCATCTGATGGGTTGTCTTTGACCTTGGCTCCAAGCGGGCTTCATCTCACAGAAATTCCCTAAGGACCCCAAGAAATCAAAAGATCCAAACCAGGGTGTTGTTTGGAAGCATGTTCTTCTTTTTTCTTATTGGCGGGATGGTATTCTCTACCAAGGAAACAAGACTTCAATCTCCAGCCCAGCAGCTTGGCTCACCATCCACGCCATATTGGCGGATACAAAATCCCTGATCTTCTCGGGAACGGTGCCTGGTTGAAGGCCGCCAAGGCCCCGAGTCAGGTGAATCCCCCACATGTTTATTGAAGGATGTTGAAGGCCTATTAATCACCAACAAAAACGATTACAGTACAAGAGCTTATGAAGATGTTTGAACTATATATGTTATTGTTCGGAGTTGGCTTTGGGTCGGGTTGGTTAAACCCCCTATGATGTCTTTCTTCCCTTTGGGATGGAACAAAAACATGAAGATAGCAAGATTTCAATCCAACATCCTCGAATTGGAAGCCTCTGACTTGAAGTCCCGCCGTGATTTTATCCCCCTCCACGCTGGACCACGCCTGCGGCATAGCCTTTGAAATCCACTCCCCACCTGTAGTTTGCAGAAAGGTTTACCAACAGCCCACCTGATGGATATAGTCTTCAATGTCTTCAATAGGTATGAATCAACAGCCCAGTACCCTTGTGAACCACAAAATAGCCGGTAGTCATGGAAGCTCATCCCCCCAATATATATATAAATAGACGCACATACATATACATATACGTACATACATACATACATACAAACATACATACATACGTACGTACGTACATACATACATACATACATACACAGACATACATACATACATACATACATACATACATACATACATACATACATATATATATATAGATAGATAGGCACTTGGCACAAGCTTTAGCTTTGCTTTGCCACCACATCAGCATGACAGTTGTATTTGGCTGCCTGCCACACCAGTTTTTTCATTATGTTTGACATATTCTCCCCTCACCTTGATACTTTCCCTTTGCCACATGTTGAATAAGGCAGTGCCCATTGTTCTGTTTGTCACCATTTTCACTTTATTATAAAACAAATTAACCATGGCTGCGATGACTGCTCGTTCACAAGAACCTCCGCCTGGACAAGATCCTCCGCAAGGTCATGCACCAACTACATCCACTACCCCATCATCAGACCTATCACCTGAGGACTTAGAGCTAGTTCGACGAAGCCCTAAGAAATCCCTCTCCTCCAAAGAAAGCTCGAACTGAACCAGGTTGGGAAGAATTTCTGGACTCCCTCTCAGCAAAGGACATTGAGATTTCAGGCTTGAAATATGCTCTCCAGCAAGAACTTCGATCATCTCCACAGGCTCACAACATTCCAGAAGCACTACACTTTGACCCAGAGCAGGCAACCTCCAGAAGATTGACATCTCAAAGACGCGGCCTTTCACTGACACTTAACCACTTGAACCTCCAACAGTAAGTCCAGAAAGCTCAGATCAAAGATGCTATCCTTCAGTACCACCAGACCATATTCCTCCAGACCATATTCCTCCTTAATCATCAACTGTCAATTCAGGCTTGCAAGCAATTTTACTCCAATTCGGTCCTCAGCAGCACTACACCCAAGTCCAGATTGACACAATAGCAATTGCTTTTATTACGGAAGTTCGACCACAGGTCCTTGCTTACTTTTTCAATTGAGCTCTCTCCAATTGTGAGGGGCAAGGCAGTCTTGCTCCTTCTAGGCACAGCAACTCCATTTCCTTCAGCTAAAGCTCGCAGGGGCCGCCAGCGGTGTGCCGGGAGATCACGGTCCCTCCATGGTTTTCTTTTGCTCCTTTTTTGATTTCATTACTCTCCAAAGCGAGAGGCAATTGGTCACGAACCCTGCCGTGCGTCACGGGATCGATTTCCTCCTGGATATTGTTTCCCTTTTCTTCTTTTTCTCCTTTTTTTCGATGGTTTGGTTTTCACCTTGCTCATTCCACCCGGTCTCGTGTAGAAGGTGCCGGTTAGTAGCTTATCCTTCAGCCAACAGATTCTCCTGCTTTATGCATTTTCTCTTTCACCATTTTGTTTCTCCAGAGGCTGACGGAAAGCTGCTGCTAACTGAAAAAGAATATAAATATTACAATATTATATATCACAGTTGTAAGTTTTGACCCGTCCCCATCTAGTTCATCTAGTTCTTTCGGAATCTCCTGCCAAGGCACATGTTCTGCAAGTGCTGCGTGATCCTGGGCCGATATGTCAGGGTCTCCAAGAGTCGTTGGTCTTCAATTGTTTGGAGGAAAACTTCCAGATCTAGGCTTGGACCGTTTTTTCGGCCTCCTTTGGTTTTCTGAATGACACCAAAGCAACAACCAGCTCCGATCAGCTCCGATCTCCACCCCGATCTGCCTGGTGTGAGTCAGCGCCCCCTCCAAGTATCCAGCTGCATAGCTTTGCGTGTCGCCATTGGCAGAGGCTGCCTCCCGGGATGCGGTCGCTCCACCGAGGCCCTTTCGAAAATGATGGGACATCCAAAACCTGCTATCGTTAGGGCCAGGGAAAACATGAGGGAAAACCAATGGTTTAGCAAGAGTCTCATCCAAAATGGGTGATGGTATGTGATATTGACTTGAATGGGGATTTTGGGGCTGCCCAAGTTTTAAGAACATCTGGCTTTTAGGGCGAATCTGTCGAATCTGTCTTACCAAGTTGAAAATCCAAAATGAACAGATCCAAAGCTACAAGTTTATTCGAAACACTGTAAACAAATACAAGGCTTACCAGCATACTATCTGCCTATCTTGCCTCCCAGTACTGAAAACAAACCTGAAACAACAAGAAACTGCCCTTTGACTCCCTTTTAAATTGTGGGGTATTCCAGTCCAGCACCACTTTTTATCATCCACATTCTCGAGTTGAACATATTTTTGAAAAGCCTGAAAACTTGCTACGTACTAGCATCAATTCACCCCAACGATTGTCCTTTCCCCAGCCTTGGTTGAAGAGAGACAATTTACATCAATTTACGGAAAATCCCTCTATATTTATGGGGGAAGCCATTGGGAAACCCTTGTTTCCTGCAGATTTTCCCTCCAACCAACCCACGATTTCCCAGGCACGGTGTGAATGTCCAGCACCGCCCAGCCAGTCTTGTTGATGACGTCACTGAAACTTCCCCAGGCCACAGCCGCGCCTCGTGGATCAGGGGCATTAGGAGAATCACCGACAAACATCTTGAGGTGACACCTAGCATCAAACCCCCTTAGCCTTGGGACTTGTACCAAGCCATTTTTTCCCGATGTATAGTTGAAATTTTCCCCTTATGAAGGCTGAGTGCAGCCCGACAACAACAAACTGAGCCGGGGCATACTGTTGGGATGGGAGAAGCACCCAAGAAACACCAGCTTTTAAACTTTAAAAACCTTATGAAGACCATCCATTCCAACCTGAAAGTTCACCAGCCAACCCAAAAATGACACCACCGCAACTGTTGGCATTGTTGTCGCATAAGCCTGGCTGAAATCCAAGAGTCTGTCATGGCCCTTCTTCAATGACATCTTGCCAGTCTCGAGGACCACGCTCCATGTCTGAACATCTTTCACCGGGAATGCTTCGGGGCTGCCCCAAGCCCAACTGGGGAGCCAGCATATCAGCCACACATGGAGCAAGCGCATGGCGCGACTCGATTCGGCACCGAGAATGCCGAGTTCAGATGGCTCCTGGGATGTCTTGCACAACCAGAAATTGCTGCGGGTGGGTGCCGGTTGGCCTTTGCAGAACGTGCTGCGGACGTCTTCGATGTCTGAACGAAATTCGGAATGTCAAACTGGGTGAACATTCCTAAGGTAACATGCAGCCACTGTTCCAAACAAACACAGTTTGAAAGTATTTCAAAACTCAAATGTCCGGGTAGGAAGCTTGCTTCAACCAGTCTGCCCTTCCTCTTCGTAGGCTCCAAAAAATCTGCGCAGATCAACTAAACTCACAAAACACCTGAAATATCCTGAAATCAAGACTCTCTGACAATTTCAATCTTTATTGCTGTCCATTTCAACGATGAAATTTGTCTTGTGTTGCCCTTGTTCTTTGGAAGCCCTCGGGTTGGCCCTCAAACAAACCCGCCTTGCCTTCACAACGGAAGACTCGCAATGCTGCGTCCGCTTCCTGGCTGGGAAATCATGGTAAATCCCCTATAAAAATTGGTTTTACCCTCCAATAAATTAACACAGACCTTGCCAAATAGGGGTTGGAAGATTGTTTCCACTGAAAATTTGTTATTTTCAGGCTCTATGTTAGATTACCAGGGGTAATCGGAACAGAATCTATAAAGGGGAAATTTTCCAGCAAGCCATCTTTGCTTACCACAGGGTAAGTCACTTTCTGGGTTTTCTTGATCGTTGAACATCAATTTTCTCAAATTTAAGTGACTGCTAGTATAGGACATGTAAAAGGGTTCATCAGGGTTTCAACACAAATATAGCGAAGAGCACTGTTGCTAGGTCAAGCTTAATAAGGGATGGTTCATTTTGCAAGAAATCCATTAGCTGTCTCCAAATCAACAGAGTTCAGCCATAATTCTTGTTCTCCATGTGGATCCTAGGCTGAAGTACTGAACTTGGGGTTGTGACTAGGTGATTCTATATATCAGCTACGGCCATCACATTCCCTCAGCTTCGAGCTGCTAATTTGTGATCAACTATGGTCATAAGCCGCACACTCAGATTTCCTGGGCCATTCACTACGAACGCCACCATGGGTATGTCAAAAACACATTTAATTTAATTAATTACATACATATATATATATATATAGGTACTATAACATAATAGTCCTGTAAATACATTCTTATATATATAAATATAATATACATGTACATATATAATAAATAGATAAATATATCAGGGAACCCAGTTTCCTATCATATCAACTCCGCCAGAAACCTCGTCCAGGCAGCGTGTGCAACAACACTCGAAACCAAAGCCTTGGTCTGCGGCATCCGCTGAGTGCGATCGGCTGGGTTGAAGTACTCTGTTAAACATTTGCCTAATGGGATCTACTGGGATTTCGTGGAGTTTAGCGGGATTTAATGGGATTTTAGAGATATTAAATACAAATTACCCTATAGCAACCCAAAAAATCGATCGTTTTCCCTAAGGCAGACGGTTGAAACACTAGTATAGGGTAGCCAACGTAAAATGTTTATAATACTTTCGAAACCCTAGGGTAAAGATACAAAAAAAATGTGAAAAACCATGGAAAACCTATGTGGCAGCATCTCTGCACACATGTTCCGAATCCATCGGGTGGAACAGCGGATTTTGGAACTCTCGAAATCTTCCATGCTGCCAGTGCAGGCGCGGATGCTAGGGTACCAGGAAGTCATCCCAAGAAAAAACGCCAAATCATCATTCCAGGTTTGTAAAATCAAAGACGAATCGAAATTGAAATCACTAAGCAGGAAACCATCTGTTTTTTATTATCACATCTTCTTATGAAAGCAATTGTTTCCTGTGATCAGGTTGTCATTTTTGATATGTCAACGATGTTCCTTATAGATTTTATTGGAAATCGGCAAACTTATCCTATGGTAAACCCGCCGATCAACAACCTCCACTATTGATTGCCGTTGCCATAAATATCACAGATGGGGTGCAAAAATTATCAAAAATCCATCCCCAAATTGTAGGATTATGAACATCAGCCACACCATGCATGTTAATAATCGGTGCCCTTTTCGAAGAGCAACGTTCCCAAAGTTTTTCCCTACGAAGCTGCCGTGGTTCCAGTAACTCATCAGCACCTGAGCTCATCGGCTTCAACGATGCAGTGGGGTGATTCACCGCTGTTTTTTGTTCACCTCCAATATGCGATTTAAATTAGCACATGAAATCAAATGTACAAGCAGCTACATGTTCGAATATACATACAGTATGTGTGTATATATATGTATACACTAAGGTATGTAATTTTAAATGCATGTATAATTATAAAACATATAAAAATATATGTGTATATTATTGTATGTAAATTAAAATGCATATATACATATATGTTCGTATATATGTAAATATGTATATATGTATATATGTATATACATTGTAAATATATATATATATGAAAAATATATAAATAAACAAACATTGCACATAATTGTATGTATACATGTATATATATATATGTATGTATGTACAGTATGTATATTGTAGATTCTTGTAGCTCGCAATAGAACATTAGCAAAGAACTGATATTGCCATCTGGCTCCCTGTCTCAACTTTCCTTGGGTAAAAAAACAGTGAGAGCAGTGAGCCGGTCGCTAGCTGCAGGCGTGAAACTCAAGTAGTTCACGGTGATCTCTTCGCCTCGCCGAGCTGGATCATCACTGTCTATCTTTGTTGCAAAACACCACCAGCATCAGCATTAGCATCATCATCAGTTGTCTTGACTAGACCTATTATCACTAGACCGTACTAGACCTACTCATCCCCATCATTATGATATCGTTACCCTTTAGTAAATTAACATAGACCCTGCCATGTGTTGGGGTGGGAAGATGAGTTTCCACTACAAATTGGTGATTTTCAGGGTCTATGTTAATTTACCAGAGGGTATCACTAGATCTATTCATTTCTTGTATTGTCTCACTGATCTGATGGCCAGTTCTGCGCCTTCGCCAATGTCTTCAGCTGCAACCAAGGCCTCAAGCGCTGAAGGGGACCCCGTGGTAAACTAACGATGATTTAATGGTAATTTGATGACTATTTAGTTGGCTTTTAATGGGGCTTTAGCCAACAGCAGTGGTGATAAATATAAATATATAAAAATAATGATAATAATAATAATAATATATATATAATATATAATATATAATATATATATACATATAATCGCGATATACTCTCCGGTAGTTTATCGGAGCTATATGGAAGCCATGGCAATTTGGCTTAATAATTTACCTATAATTTCAATGGTGATGCTCCATAGCAAACTGTTCGTTTACTAGGGGTATGCCCTTTTCGGTTTAATATACTTCGCATGCTTTGGCTGCTTTCCAAAAGACATGTCCGAAATCAAACCCTGATCAACCGCTGAGTCCAGGATTACCTACACTGACATCCACGGAGCAGCACACACACATATATATATCTATATATCTATTTATGCATATGCAAATCTGAATGTATGCATGTATGCATGTATGCATGTATGAATGCATGTATGTATGCATGTATGTATGTATGCATGTATGTATGAATGCATGTATGTGTGTATGTAGTATGTATGTATGCGTGTATGTATGCATGATTGTATGCATGTATGCATGTATGTGTGTATGCATGCATGTATGTATGCATGTCTGTATGTATGCATGTATGCATGTATGTATGCATGAATGTATGCATGTATGCATGTATGTTTGCATGTATGTATGTATGCATGTATGTTTGCATGCATGTATGCATGCATTTATGTAGTCTGCATGCATGCATTTATGTATGTATGTATGCATGTCTGTATGTAGTATAGTAAATGCATTTATGTATGTATGCATGCATGTATGTATGCATGTTTGCATGTGTGCATGTATGTATGCTTGCATGGATGCATGTATGTATGCATGAATGCATGTATGTATGCATGTATGTATGCGTGAATTTATGTATGTATGCATGCTTGCATGCATGTATGCATGTATGTATGTATGCACGTATGTATGCATGCATGCATGTACGCAAGCATGTATGCATGCATGTATGTACGCATGCATGTGTGCATGTATGCGTGCAAATATGCATGTATGTATGTATGCATGTATGTATGTAGTATGTATGCATGCATGTATGGATGTATGTAGGCTTGCATGCATGTATGTATGTATGCATGCATGTATGCATGTATGTTTGCATGTATGTAGCCTGCATGCATGCATGTATGTATGAATGTATGTGTGCATGCATGTATGCATGTATGTATGTTTGAATTTTGTATGTATGCATGTATGCATATGTGTATGTATGCATGTAGGCATGCATGCAAGCATGTATGCATCTGAATAATTGTACATACATATATATATATATGGGTGTGTATACGTATGTATGTAAATGTGCATGTAAAATTATGTACGTGTGGATGTATATTTATAAACATGCACATATGTATATAAATATGTAAATGCGTGCATATACACACACATATATATATATATATACATAGTACATCATAATCTACATGTTGGGATTCAAGATTCTGCTCCGCCAGTCCCCGTTAGTGACATGTTGCTCTGTTCTCAGAACAGGCGTGGGCCTCTGAAGATCTTTGAAACATTGCGTGCTTGGTGGTTCCCACTTGGGAAGTTACTTCCCAGCACAGTCAAGGGAATAAGCCTACTTGCCTCATTTATAACCGTTTATATAGCCAGGGTTGTAAGTTGTAACTTATAACCTGCTAAGCAGGATGAAGCGGGGTTGCTTAAAAGTCAGCATTCCTAACAACCTACAGAATTTGCAAATGTTGTTCCCTGGTGTTCTCTGGGGCTTGAACCTTGGCCCATGCACATGCTGCATTCAACACTTCTATCAGGGTTGAATGGAAATCCATGGAAATCCCAAGCTACACAGCCCCCAAAAGGACCACACACACTTCATTTCGTGTATACTGTATACTCTATCATCTCTATCATAACCGTGCTGTAAAGCATAGAAACCACAACCAGAATCAGACGCCAGGAATTCACCATCGGAGCTTGGCGTTTTTGGGGCCACCTGAGAAACCCCGGAGCCTTCTTCAGTGGATCAAAGGGTTGCAACTTGCTGTGCAACTTGGGGTCCCGCTCTGCCTTGGGACACGAGACATCCACCGTGGTGCCCAGGTGAAGCGGTGGGGAAAATGATGGTAGAATGGTGATGATACTTTTGTCTTGAGGGCTTGCTGTTCAAGTTTCCTAGAAATGGATCCCTGAGCCATTCTGAGGTGCAAAGCATCCAAAATTCAATTTCTTTCCCCGTTCGAACGTCAGAAAGCTGCTTGGTCCCAACATGTGAACCCAATCTGAAGTGTGGTGCCCATGGCCCAGCGTGGTTGTTCCACAGGATTTGCATGTCACTTTTCCTGCTGTCTGCTAGTCTACCTTCAGCTGTGGGCTCCCCTTGATCATGGGATATATAAAATGAGGTAAACACAGTGCCAAAACATTCCCCAATAGTACCGGTTTTTGAAGTTGGGTATGCCCAATTCAGGATGATTCAAATGGTAGACAAATGGAACTGTAGCCGCGTGAAAGGAAAGGAACACACACACACAGACACACACGGTATGATATACATATATACGTGTGTGTGTGTGAAAAAATGTGTCTGGCTCTGGCATGGTACAATCTATTCGAAACGACTGCTTTTTGCTGAGCCCTGACATAGGCGCACTATTGGCAGCCTATTCCCCCTGCTTCCTTTCACGTTGGCGTGAAGCTTTGCAAACACTTGCTCATATTATCCGAAAATCATCGTTGGATGTTCGTCTCAACACTGGAACTGTGTTTGGCACAAAGCCCCTGCTTCCTCGACATCTCAAACGGGTCATGGACAGCTCATGGCCACCACGGTACCAATTTGGGATCTCCAAGGACGGCATTTGGCCTGCAACAGCCAGGAAGTTACACCCATGACAGTCATGTCCATGGCAGAAGAATGCAAAGAATACCCTCGGTCAATCCAACATGGCAATGGAAAATCCACTTTTCTCATACAGACCTCGATTTGTAGGGGATTTTCCAGCAAGCCACGTTTGATTTCTGGAGGGTATATCCCATAATCATCCCAGTCATATTCCATTAACTATAGATATATCTAACATAAACCACAGTTACCATAGTTTACATCCCATAAGCCCACCATCTTCAAGAGTCTAGCCAAAGGCTAAAGGTGAGCCAAGCCCAGTGACCCACTATGCCCACTATGCACATCCTTCTTTTGCATCAACCCTTAACTGATTTCCAGCCTGCAGGAGTGGTTCACCCGTGCCAAGGCCAAGTATAGAAGCTTGGACGAAGATCGGCTGTGGAAGAAGCAATTCGCATCGAAGATCCTCCAGCAAACGACGGGGAGGCACGTGGTGGAATTGCCAAGGGTGGCTGGATGAAACGATGATGAATTGATCCTCTTTGGCATCCTACAGTTCTGGCCCTTTATCAGGTTTAAGTCAGCCATACATATACATATATATATAACACCATTTATGGAATGATAAGCCAATTTGTAACCCAATCAGTGTATGATCGTTTTTACATCATGTTACAGTAGGCAGCTGAATAACAAAACAGCAGCGCCTGTGGAGCTAAAATGATACATGCCACGCATTCCAATCCCCAGTGAGGTCCTCATCATGCCCCAAATCTGGTCTTGAAGGCCTCAAATGGTGGCCCTGGATATTCATGGGGATCATCCCGAGCACCGCAGTGGGATACCATGGATGATGTGGAAAACCAGAAGGAACACCTTCTTTTTTGATAGGGAGTGATATGGGATTTCCGTTTACTGGAGGGTACTGCAGCATAATGTGGGAATGTGGGAATGTGGGATCGTTTTTCCACTGAGGAAACCAGTGATTTCTTTATATCTATGTCAATCTACCGGTATGCCACTATTCGACTTTAATCTATGGTCATGCGGGCTTGTGCCAAAATGAGGGACACCTTAATTTCTGTGACTTTTGATGGGGGAAATGCTGATGAAATTAGGTAAATTGGGTATGCTCCGGCAAAGGCAGTCTTATATACTGGCCCACAAATGGGTGATGATTGGGGATGGTTTCTTACAGCCGGTCCCCCGTTGCATCTTTATTCATCTTGCTAAACACAAATCACAGCACTTATCGCCCTATGAAACCTGAATATGTCGATCTAAAAGTTGTCCAGTTCTAGATTTGAAGCCCATCTTGTGGAATGCAAGCGATACATCAATGACCATCATACAATCATAATGTTTCTATCAGATATCCTTGTATATCCATTATGATGTCATGTAATGTTCTAGTAAGACCATGGCTGCCCATCTTCAAACCCCGTTTTTTCATCTTGCGGCAAGGCGCCGTCACTCAGCTGACCTGGGCCACTGGGAGCTGAGTGAAATCACGTGAGTCATGAGGCATGCTGCTATGATATGGAGGTTTCCTGAAATGGTGGTACCCCCAAATCCGTGGTTTTGAGGATCCGTCACTTTAGGACACCCCCAGGACACGGTCGCCTGAGGATTTTAAACATGTCGCCACAGTGTCGGGAATGGATCTTGCCTTTGTATCAATGGCCGAGGTAACAACGTGAAAAGAACATCACCGGTGGGGCCATCATAATCAATGAAGCGACAATTGCGACAAACTGTTTCTGGTGAGTAATGGCTAATTACTTGCCAGCTGGCAGGCCTGCAGTTGTAACCCTTATCAGTTGCAACTGGCTTATGATTATAAGCCCAGTTCAAGAATATATCATCTTGGCTGCAAAAGTTATAATCCAGTTTACAACTTTTAAGGGCATTTAGACCTATTAAGGACCATAACTGTGCCATTGCTCTAAAGACAAGCCCGATCCATCACCTGCCAGTGCATAAGGCCGACCCCATTTCGTTTGCCTGTGTGCCTTGCTACCCCACAGGATCAGACCATAGCTTCGGTGTGTGATGCAAAGCTCAGCATTTCGTAGGCATGGTTGTTAAAGAAACAACCAGTCTGAATAATGGCCGTGCTACGAATCAGACATGGATCACATCTGTTTCATGGCCATTGATTCAAGGCAGCATAGTTGTTTTCACATCAGGGCGGAACGGATCGTAAAGTATCGTAGTATGGTAAAATGACAACCAAGGCACCGAATTCTGCCGACGCCGCGAGCAACGTGTCTTTGTTGAAGGGCTGACTGTTCTCGGATCCTCACAGAGTTCAGCACTGATATGGCCCTGCAGAATTCCGTCTGAGGTTGGCATAAAAAATCCATTCAGTGGCTCTTACTTCATCCGCACCAAACATATCCGAGAACAGATTGTATACTCTGTTAGCATGCATATGATCATTGTATATCATTGTAATATTGTCTTCACACGGATGGTATATGCAAAACCAGTGTACAATTTTTCACGCTCTTTCATGATGTCACCTGATCCTTTCGTTAATCATGTGCACATTATATACATACAGTGTGTGTGTGTATATATATATATATGTACGCCATATACATGAGGTTTCCTAAAATGTAATACCTCAAGAAACATGGATTTCGATACTAAAATGGTCTAATTTGGATGATTGGGGGGGGTACCCTCATTTACCTCCATGTATATATATATATATGCATAATTACACACACACATATATATATATACATATGCATAATTACATATATATATATGTATATATATATATAAATACATATATGCACACAATGTATAACTCCAACTAACAACATCTAATACCATACATACAAGCTGAGCATGCACAGATATCCACACCCTCATCAGCATGCTCGTCGCCCTGGTCAGCCGCCAAGAAGCGTAAGCTGGGCAAAGAGTCGGGCCCCTGCAGGGCACACAAACTCCAGGGTTTTGGGGAACGGATCAGTTCTTCAAAGTGCCTGGTTCTTGGCCATCTCAACATGTTTCTTGGTCGGCATGCAACTTTGTCAGAGTTTCCTAGCCGAGAGTCTGAAGACCCTTGATATCCCTTGGTGCATTTGAAAACATTGAAAGTTATGAAAGAACCTTATCGTATTTCAAGACCTCCAGAGACTGGATCATCCCATCAAGCCATCCGCCTGTGACAGCTGCAAAACGGCCTCGGGTGGCTGTTTCTGCATGTCTTGATCCCGAACTGCCGATCTCAATCCGTTGCAAACACATTGTGCACTTTATCCATTGGAGAGGCAACAGCAAATATGTCTTTTCGGTTTCTCAAAACCAATTAAGCCACCCACCCCTAGATCCACAAAAGATCTGAAATCTTAACAATCGGGCAATCGGGATCTACTTTGGGGTTTTATAAGCAGCAACGCGTCACACCCAGGCACTTCTTGCATGCTTGGGCTCAACCCCTTCAGACCTTGCATCCTGAGCCGTTGAGAGAAAGTTGGACTTCCAGGCTTCCACTGAAAACTTAAATTCAACGCTATGTTTCCTGAACATTTCCAGTCCTACCCAGCACAAGCTAAGCAGTCGGTTAGTGCCCGTGCCAATTCGCGAAACTAACATCCTGCGTGGTGGTTTCAACTGACCCCTGAATCGGTTGAAAGAGGTATCATGGACGAAAAAATCCATTTCAAACACGATCAAACCACCAGTGCTGAATGGCGTACGAATGAGAATCCTGCTGATCTTTGATGGGGCCCATGGGATTTCATCAATTCAAGACTTCTTCTTGGAGCAGGTGTAGCTTGCGTCGGATTCATGGTTAATTACTCTCCAATAATTTGACACACATTAACATACGAAAAGCACACGGTTTCCCTGGGAATATGGTCTACATTCATTGTGATTCTTTTTCATATCTACTGTATCTTAAACTGGAGGGTCACTTTCATGTCCCAGGGTGTCATTGGACTTTCCCCACATTGAAACTGATGACAACAACAACAACAACGCCGCCAGACCCACAGGCTTCGGCCAAGCCAACTTCCAAGCTTCAACTTGCCCATGTCCAAGCTGAAGGCTGCGGTCATGGAGGGTTCATCCTCCATAATCACCTGGCCTTTGGTGAAGGCCACCTGGGAGCTGGGCAGAGACCCAGGACTTGCAGTCTCTCCCGGTAGATACCAGGAACCCCCCTCGAAGAGTTTAGGACCCCTAGGCTCCTAAAGATCACGTGTCAAAGCTTTCAAAGCAGTGACACACTTGGAAATTCTACGTCAACTGCGTGTGCTCTGGAACTCTGCCGAGCCCCACTTCAGTAGCCATTGCAGTCAGCAAGTGGTTAGGAAGTTAGGATCCCGAATTACTTTATAAGTTCCTCAACTTGGCTTACTCATTCTTATTTATACTTATTCCATCTTCGTAATCATAATAGATCACGGTTTCTATATTTTCACTTATATCTTGGGAGGATCCTCCAAAGTGTTGAATGATGCTGAGGATATCTTGGCCCTTTCTGCTTGTGATTCAGGATCCTCCCAGCAGTCCTTCTTTGCCCATAAATTGCATGCCAAACAATACATGGCGAGATTTTACAAGAATCACCCATCCTTCAAGTTAAGAAACAATATTGAAATTCTGAAAGCTGTTGTAACCATATAATTTTGTTCACACCGATTTCAAGATTTCGTAACCATCCTAGTTCCCAGTGGGATCCCCAGGCCCTCAAATCCGCCCAAGTTGCTTTTGCCACCACCGCCTTCTCTCCGCCCTTCCTTGCCAGGTCAGGATCTGGATAGGTGATAAGTCTGATTGCCAACTATGAGTGAGTGATATGTGGTAATGTCCCATTAACAATGTATGATATGATATTGGGTGAAAAGTAGCTTGCCAATGTCTGATATGTTTATGGATGGTTTTTCCATGAACATTCAAGATTTATATCGTTTACAGTGGGTGATGTATGGTGATGTCCCAACTTCAACCCAATTTCACCAAATCGATCCAAAGGGGATCGGAGAACAGCCCAGCTTCAGCTTCCAATCTTCCACTTGGACCGGATCTTGCAGTGTCGCACCAGTGGCCTTGCTGGAAAATTTAAAAAATCCCCGATGCAAATGAAAGTGATGGAAAAACACGTATCGTATATATATATATATATAATATAATATAATTACAAATAAGTGGTGGGTTTTCCAGCCATGTTTGATGAAACCATAGGGTGTACTTCAAACCATGGCTCGGTCCATGGCTCACCTTTCAGGTATCTGGGTGGCACAGCACGGTAGTGAACCAATCACGGTCATTGATTTAGAATCATCGTTTGGTGGGACATTCCATCCTCATCTTGGTTTTGGAACAACATATCCCACTATATGGCCACGCTAAAACAGTGGCTTGATGTGGCAAACCACCTTTACAGCCCATACTCCCATCCACCCAATGCCCAACAGTGGGTTTCATCCGGTCAAAATGTATTAAAACACATTGCCAACATGGGTTGATGATCGGCTTTGGCCTCCGGTAATTTAATAGAGCTACGGACAATGGCCTATATATTTTGTTCGATGCTTTACCTATTGAACATGGTCATTTCCAAAGCAAACTGTTAAATCACACCAGCGACTACAATCCATTTCTGGATCAGAATCTAAAACATAGCAATGACCGCAAAGATAGAAGAGTGGAAAACCTGGAAAATCTTTGCAAATCATCGAAGTCCCATCTTGGAAATATAGATCTATAACATATCTCCCCGTTCCTCCATGGCCTCGTCGCAAAGCTCCTGGGAACGCAGCTTCACAGGGGCTGCTGTACCATCCGCCTCAGGTGTGGATAACTTCTGAATTTGCTGGGGTTCAAGGGAACATCTATGACAATCTGTGAATATCTATGAAAGTCTGTTGAATCTATGAGCGGTTGCAAGACAAGCCTTGAAATCAGTTTTTGTTTCCACATTTTTCAACCGTTTTCCACCTTTTTTTTGTATCTAAAAATGCACTTTGAAGGGGTTTAATGTGGCCCTGAAACACCGCTTTGAAGATGGTTTGGGATTGGGGGGTCCCTGGCCTGTCCCATGAAGTGGACGGCTGTTGAGAAAGAGACGCAGCATGAATCGCAAATTATCATATATTTCTGTCATTCTGACATGAATACCCTTGCAAGACAACTGTTCAACTGGCTGGTGCTTGATCCACACCTTGGAAGAACATGGCCGTGAGGGATCATCATTGACTTTGCTGGCAAAGGGTACATCCCCTCACCGCACATCTTCAGGATATCAACAAATCAAGACCACAGAAAGTGTGATGTTCGAACATCTTTGACCTTTTGAAATTTTTGAAGCACAAAAAACAGGTAAATTCCCCCGTCTCGTTGATCCGACTTTGTGGCAACCTGGCCCCGGCCTGGACGTCCCACAAACCACGCGCATCTGGCATGACCTCCCAACGACGTGACGACCTCAACGGCCCATGCCGTGCCCTGGCAGAACATGGTTCATTCATGGAGGATTTACAAAGAATCCATGAACATTCATGAACATTCATGAACATTCATGAACATTCATGAACATTCTAAATCACACTATATATTATTGTATTATATATATATTTATTGCCATCAATTGTCCATTGCCTGGTTTGGCTACCGAAGGGCGTGCATATTTGCAAATTGTGATTCTGACTCTGTGGGAACCCATGGTGCACACAAAATATCACAAAGTAAAATCATACTCGAAATGGAAAGATGAGTAGCGAATAAGTATAAAGTAATACCCCAAAAGCCGGAAACTTGTTTACGCTCACGCCGCCGTTAGCGGCGCTGAGGAATTTACTAGTTTTTTACATATCAGACGAGTTTACTACTTTTTAGCAGATACGGCCAGGGGTGGGATGTTAACGTTCATTTGCACTTGCACACCACGTGGATGCTACGTTGCTGCTACGTTGGGCATGGGTTGGGGTGGGGTGGGATGTTAACGTTCATTTGCACTTGCACACCACGTGGATGCTACGTTGCTGCTACGTTGGGCATGGGTTGGGGTGGGGTGGGATGTTAACGTTCATTTGCACTTGCACACCACGTGGATGCTACGTTGCTGCTACGTTGGGCATGGGTTGGGGTGGGGTGGGATGTTAACGTTCATTTGCACTTGCACACCACGTGGATGCTACGTTGCTGCTACGTTGGGCATGGGTTGGGGTGGGGTGGGATGTTAATATATTTATATATATATATATACATATATGTATATATGTATATGCGTATGCGAGCGATGGGTTTGTTTGTGCTTATTGTTCAGTTCACCGCGTATCGCCCCGTTCCCAAACGTTTACCTGACTTTGTTCTGATATAAGATTCCTTTTATTTTTTGGGTTGGCTCGCCCCAGGTTCGCTTCTCAGATGCCTCGGCGGCCAGGGATGCGGATGTGATGTGTTTCAGACGGTATGATAAACCAGGAGTATGTAAACCTGGAAGACTTGGGTCGCCTTAATTTGGTGGTTTCTCAAAATAGGGGCACCTCCAGATCATCTTATATCAATCCTTATTAGTAAGAAACCAAATATTTTTGGGAGGTCCTTATTTTGTGAAACCTTGATATCAAAAACCATCAATGTTGGTGAAGTCATGTTTATTTCTTTCAAAGTTATCAATTAATCGTCATGTGGGACATGGTATACTCTCATTACATTATGGAAATGGAAAGATCATGTTCGTGTACGTATGGTCCCCGGGTTTTGCATCATCTGAGAACTGGTCTTGTGAAGGGGGGTTGTTGGTTTTTTAAATGGGTGTTTCTACAAATAGGGGTATCCCTAACTCTTTGAACATATTGTTTTTGTGTTTCAGTGGAAAACACCATTCACCTATGGAATATGCAGCGCTCACTCCGTGGCTGTTGTCAGGATCCGTGCTTGCTTTGGGCAATGAACCCCATACTTTTATCCCTAACGTACCTCATACTTGTGAGAGCCATACGCATCCCGCTGCCTCCTCTGGTGCATGTGTGGGAACAATATGATCTTCAGGAACTCTTAGATCTACATGAAGTGATGTCTTCGGCAGCCATTTGGCAAGACCAATCTGCGCGAGAATGCATTTCTGTCTTGTATCTCTGTTACAACTTTCAATCTCTGTTTTGCAGCTTGCAGATTTTGAAGAATATTTGGCATCGATACGTCACACGGACGCTGCCTTTGCCAGATGAAATTCTGGCGCTAGGACACCGGTTAAATCTTCGTTTAGCTGGACCTCGCCTACCGGACTTTCCTGATGCGGCACTCTCCCAACCGTGGCTTTTTCAGTGTTTGCAGCTGCTAGATTCTGTCAATGCTACGATAGATGATGTGCCGGGACATGCTGCTCATGTGGAACCAGTGTCTGACATGGCCGTGATTGAGGCCGTTGTTGGGTTTTTCAGCAAGAAATCGTACTTTGTTATGAATGAGATAGTTATAGCTGGGTGCTTCTGTTTCTATGGAATCATTGTCATAGCGTTTCCATGAATCTCCCCGGAATGATGTCCAAAGTGTCGCTTCATTGTCGGTGACCATTGATCCAACATTGCAATGTGGCTTGGTACCATAAATTTCTGGCCCTCAGGTGGGCGAGTGCCTGGATGTCAGCACACGTTTGGATTCTGCCGTGGAAGTGATGTCCGATGACGATGAGTGTGTCGGGGGCGATGAGTCGGAGTCGCTAAGTCCGCCTAACCAGGACGACTCTCCACCTGCAAGAAGAGCCAAGATTGATCACTATGTGCGGCATTCGGAGCCGGCTTCTTCCGTGCGCACAGCGGGCCATTCACATAGAGAGGCTTCTTCTTCTTCTCGACCATTTGTCAATCCTGCACAGATGTCTATGTTGGATCGAGCCCAAATGTTTGAAGAGAGACAGCAGCATGTGGATCCGCTTCCTGAAACAAAATGGGGTCGCTGTGCCATTCCGTCCTGCAGGTACGCCTTAGCACCTCATCTCTTCGCATCCGGTCAATACGCCGGTGAGATCCGTTTGCTATGCTCCCAGTTCCACAAGCAGACAGATGGCAGGAGGAACTGTTGGCATAGTGTGCCGGTGCCGGACCACCTGTGGGAAGCCGTGCCGATGTTTCTGAAAAGGAAGCGCAATGCATTGCCTGCTTCTTTGCTTCGCAATGGAGTGAAGCCCTAAGACACCTCACTTTGTGCGCTGGGTCTCAAAAGTGGCTACCGTCGCCGTGTGCGTGTCGGGCATGAGAGACTCCGAACATCATTTGTAAATATGAACTACTATGTATAGATTCTTCCTTCATTCAACTATACTTATATATATATATATACATATGTGTATATGGATATATCTATATATAAATATATATATATATGTGTGATTAATATAAATGTACATATATATATATATTGTATAACAATGTGGCAATGTATAGATATAGTGCCTCTGTCGATGTGCAAAAGCAGTCTAGCACAAACATGGCTATGGTCACTCACATGTCCGATGTGATTCATGGAACAGGCAGTGCGTTTGTGCCATGCAGGTGATGTATCCAGGTTGGAGCAGATGTTTTTATGTCCGCAGCCATTTTCCGTGTCAACGAAGTAGGTATCCTGAAGGGAACCTTTTTTTGGATACTTTTCAAATCTCATGTCTCCCAATGCTGCCAAAAGCTGTGGTTTCTGCGGTTCGAAAAAACACAACCTTCGCACATGCACCCTGCCGGGAGCTTCGGAGTTGCGTCGTTTGCGGGCTTTGACGCAACCCAAAACGAAGTCTTCTGGATCTAGAGTGGTACGAGGTAATTCTGAGGCTGCTAGGAGAACCCGACAGACAGTTCTCAAAAGACCTGCCACATTGCGTAGACCTGCTGCTGTGGTTCGGCAGCAGTATTCTGGGCCCCTTGGTTTATCATTCTTGGTCCTGCGCCATTGTTCTTGGCCCCTCTAAACTGTTTATGGTGAAGTGTTGGTTTTTCATGGTCCACACACATACCTGTAAACATGGAAAGACATTTTTGCTTTGTCTCAGGACGAAGAAAGACCATGCTCGGAGATGCAGTCGTGAGAACTCAGCGCCTGCCATGCCGCTCATGGACGTGTGTGCAGCGTCCGAAAAGCTACATGATATCGGCGTTCTCAAGTGTCCTGAAGAATGCTCGAGCTGCATGTCTGGTGGGATGCAAGGACCTTTTCGTCGCAATGATTTGGCTACGGAACAGTTGCACTGGCATTGTGACAACAGAGATTGTCGCGCTCGACACAATGTGTTGTCCTTCTCTGGTCGTTTTGCTCTCAAGTGGGACCGTTTCAGATCCTTGACTCCAGCGACCTTTTACCAACTGCTACTGGCTTACTGGGGTCCTGGACAACTGAGATTACAAGAAGTCTGCCACGTCACTGGTTTGCAAGAACAGCATGGAATCAGAGCAATGCGGTGTCTCAGAGAAATGGAAGCGCAAGCTGCAAGGTCTCAAAAAGATCACCTCCGACTGCAGGGGCGCATCGAATGCGATGCCACCAGCATTCGCAAGATGTACATCAAGAACAATTGTCCGGAGTGGTCACTTCACATTGCGGATTGGCGAAGGAAGCATGCAGGAGAAGCGCTGCCTCAGTACTTCATAGCGTATGTGCGTGTCGGTGGCCTTATCGAGCGAGGTGGTCGAGACGGTCGAGTTCTAGTAACGCCCCTGCCCGTGATTCTTCTTTCTCCTGGAGCCAGGCCACCGACCGAGAGCTCCTTGGATGTGTCGGAGTTGGATCTGGTAAATAGCATTGTGAGTCGCAAAAGCATGTTGTTTGGGGATGGCGCGCGGGCTTGGAAGAAAGCAGCAGAAGATGCTGGATTGCCCTATGCCAGTGTCAACCATTCCCTTTTAGAATTTAGCCGTCAAGTACATGGTTTGAATCAAAAGCCAGTGACCGCTGGCACTCAAACCTTGGACAGAGCATGGCAGGATTTGAAAAAGTATGTTCCATCCGAGATCACAGCAAAGGATCCAACCAGCAAAAAGGTTAATCCTGCGTTGTGGGATTGGATTTACAGCTGGATGTGGCGCCGCAACTGTAAAGGAGATGTGTGGGCAGCCATGCCAGCTCTGTTTCACTGAGACAGACATTGCTGCAAACCAGCTGCCAAAACGTCCAGCGCCGCTAACGGCGGCGTGACCTTGTTTACCACTATTTTTGGCGGATTTCACTTTTCTATCTGTATGTGGGTTGCTATGTGTATGAACGTACGGCAACTTGTCACGGCAAGAAATTTCTCACAGGACACAGCATGAGGTCCCGGACCCTTGGAAAGCCCCCAGCAGTCCGTACTGACCATCCAACTCCGGTTTGGCGTGCACCGCGCCAACCGACCTAGAACTGCGTCGCGCGCGATCCAGAGAGGATCTAAACTGCCATAGTCTGGAAAACCATGGAAAACACATGAAAACTTTTAAAT